GAGCTTGCTTCTCCCAGCACCCCCAGGGTATGCCCCACCTACCTTCCCATCTGTCTCCTCCTGGGACCCTCCTCCACTGGGAGACAAGGGTTATTCTTCCCATTTCATTATTTTTTTTAATTAATAATTTATTTAGGTAATCTCTACACCCAACGTGGGGCTCAAACTCACGACCCCAAGGTTAAGAGTCATATGCTCTTTGGACTGAGCCAGCCAGGCACCCCTCTTCCCATTTTAAAGATGAGGAGATGGGTCCTCAGAGGCTTGAGTTTCTTGCCCCAAGTCAGTTCAGCAATTGTGAGTTGACTACTATGTGCCAGGCTCTACACACCAAACTGAATCCCGAGCAGGATCTGATCCCTGCCCAGTGCACTAGGGGCTCTTTGGGGCCTAGACAGTGACTGTCAAACTCGCCGTGGTACCTTAGGGCCTGGCACAGAGCAGGCACTCTGAGCATTTGAGTAACAAACTCCTGAATGAATAAATCAGTGAATGGGGAGCTTCGTGGAAAGATCATGGACCTAGAGCTAGAGACCTGGGTTCAAGTTGTGGCCCTGTCACATGTCACCTTGAGCACTGATAAGAACTCCTGCCCTTTATTAAGTACCACCTGTGTGCTTTTCCAGCCTTAGAGCCCCAAAGACTCTCACGAAGGTGTTGTGAACCCCTTTTCCAAATGAGGAAACTGAGGCTCAGAGAAGACAAGTCACTGACCCCAAGCCCTCCGGAAACAGACTTAGCACCCAGTGTCCACTAATCCTGCCAGGGCCTCAGTCTTCTCCTCTGCCAGAGGCTGAGCCACACCATGGCCCTGACCTGGCTGTCCCCCACAGGTGGCCTGAGTGTGGGGGACTTCCGGAAGGTGCTGATGAAGACAGGGCTGGTGCTGGTAGTGCTGGGCCATGTGAGCTTCATTGCAGCCGCTCTTCTGCACGGCACTGTGCTGCGCTACGTGGTTGCCCCACGCGATGCCGTGGCTCTGCAGTACTGCGTGGTCAACATCCTCTCTGTCACGTCCGCCATCGTGGTATGGCCAGGCGGGGAGGGTGACTGGCGAGAGGGAGCTGGAGGGGGCTTGGGGTGGGCAAGGAGAGAGCCCCGAGCCTCTGGTCTCTCAACCTCTCCCTGCCTCAGCTGCCTTGTCTATTACATGGGGATTGTAGCATTGTCCACCTGACAGGGTCCCCGTGAGTATGAATGAGATCACGTAAAGTGATCCACGTAATGAGATCCACGTAAAGTGCGTGTCATGGTATCTGGCGCATGGTTAGTGCTCACGTTTGCGAACTGGGATTATTATGACAAGGAAGTAACCAAGGCAGTGCTGGACAAAAGGAAGGAGCATCAGCTGAGCTTGGGAGGGTCCAGGAGTGTTCACAGAGCTGGAGGCCCCTGAGCTGGATATTGACGGATGAGTAGGAGTTCAAAGATAGGCTGCAATTACCATAGCCCACATAGGAGGCACGCTGGGGCCAGCAAGTAGGAGAGGAAGCTGGGATGACATTCCAGAGCCAGAGAGAATGGCAGATGCAAAGGTGTGGAGGTGGGAATGGCTAAGATCTATTCTGGGGACACCGCAAAAACAAATTTGGCAGGAACTCAGCATTAGGGACGGTCTATGGTAGGTGCTCAATTAATGGTGGCCGTGGCTATGACGAGGTGTCAGTACCTGTTTGAGGAATCCACGAATGAAGGGCTCTGGCATTCTGAAGGTCACAGAGCTCTTTCCCACCTGTTAGCAGAGGTGGCTGCAGCTTTTGGGCAACATCCATCCATCAAAGCCTTGAGTTCCATCTCTGCCACCTCCCAGCTGAGGGACTTCTTCCTGTCTCTAAGCCTAGTCTCTCCTCTACAAAGTGAAGCTCCAACAGCCCGCTTGCGCCGAGACTTAGGTGAATGGAGATCACATGCCCCAGCAAGCGGGAGAAGCCTCAGTCAGTGGGACGGGCCGGGCTGTGCAGATGTGTGGTGTCCCCTGGAGTGACCCCTGGGGTTCCCCAGTGACCCCAGTGTTCCTCTCACCAGCCTTGTAAGGAACTCCGGGAGAGCAGTGAGCTCAGGGTTAGGAGATCCACCGGGGATGGGCTCTGGGCTGGACCCCTTCAGCTTTGCCCTCAGTTCCTCCGTTAATCCTCAACTGCATCTGGCAACAGAGGGCGTCTGTTACCCCCGCTTTCCAGAGGGGGAAACCAACACTGAGGATTCACCCAACCTCCTGTCGATACAAAGAAGCCAGGCTGGATCTGAAACCGTTCGTGTCTGACGCCAAAGCTAGTGTCCTTTCTGTGAGCTCATCCTGCAGACTGGGGCTTAGCCCAGAGAGCTTGGGGCACTTACGTGGGGCTGTTCAGTGAAGTAAAGCCATTGCTGGGTGGCCATCAGACCACCTGCCTCCCATGGGCTCAGCCCATTGAATTCTCCTCCATGAAGTGTTCTGACTTGTTAAAATAACAATTTTGTGCTTAGTTCCTTGCCAGTTGAGTTTACTTAGTTTATCCCCAAATCCTTCCACTCCAGAGAGACATGTCATGTATAGCCTGTGACATGGCCCTGTGGCCCTGGGCTACACAGGTCCCCGTTTGAGTTAAACACCTATAGGCAGTGGGGAGTCACGGAAGGTTGTAGGCAGGGAGTTACCGGATATTAGAAACATCTTTTCGGGGCTGGACCGTGAGGAGGCAGTGCCTCTGTGCAGATGGAGGTAGTGAGGCCAAAGCTGAGCGGAGATGAGGGGCCGGGGGCTTGGAGGGCTAGAGTTGGCCTCGGTGGGATCTTTACCCGGAGCTGCCCCTGACACCTGCCTGCTCTCCTTCCCCACAGGTCATCACCTCAGGCGTTGCAGCCATCGTGTTGTCACGCTACCTCCCCAGCATCCCCCTGGTATGTGGCTCCTCCTGGGAGGGGCTGTAGGGGTCGGGTGGGGGCAGCAGCCACCCCAAAGGGCCTAGCTTGCCCGGAGGGAGTGAGGCTGACCCCATGGGACCAAGCCTGACATCCGTTGACCGGTGGCCTCCCCCATCCAGCGCTGGACGGTGTTTAGTTCGAGCACGGCCTGTGCCCTTCTTTCTCTGACCTGTGCCCTGGGCCTCTTGGCCTCCATCGCCGTGACCTTTGCCACCCAAGGCCGGGCGCTGCTGGCTGCCTGCACTTTTGGAAGCCCCGGACTGCTGGTACTGGTGCCTGACTGTCCCTTCGACCCCACGCGCATTTACGTGAGTGCTCAGGCCTGGGATTGCAGGAGGGGGCAGGGCAGGGCTGGAGGAGTGGGGGGATGGGTGGTGACACCCAGGGGCTCATCAGAGGTGGGAAGGGTTCTTGGAGACCCACCCTGCATCCTGCCCCTTGTGCCCTCCCCCGCAGAGCTCCAGCCTGTGCCTCTGGGGCATCTCGCTAGTGTTCTGCGTGGCAGAGAGCGTGTTTGCTGTGCGCTGTGCCCAGCTCGCCCACCAGCTGCTGGAACTGAGGCCCTGGTGGGGGAGAAGCAGCCACCACATGGTAAGGCCCGCCACCCCCTCCATCAGCCCCGACTCCCCATATTTCCTGGGAGCCCTTGCGGGGAAGCCCAGGCTGGTCTGCCCCTACCCTCTGCATGGGGCCCCTGCCTTGAGAACTGGGAGAGTTTTTCCTCCAGGATGAAAAGGGAGAAGCTCGGAGGCTTAGAGATGTCAGGTGTCCCAGCTAAGTCACACAGCTGAAACCTGGCTCCCCCTAGGCCCAGGATGAGTCTTGAGGGAGAGGGAGGAGTATCTGGGTTCAATCTGGGGGCACCCCAAGGGTATGGCCTGGCTCTTGCATGGGAGGGGGTAGTGAGGTTCTTCTGCCCCAGAGATCCTCCCAGCCCTCCCCTCATCCCCTCCCCTGGGTGTCCTATAGGAGCAGACCCCGTTCCCCGGCAGCCTCTTGTGTCTCTGCAGATGCAGGAGAGCCCAGAGCCCGTGGAGGGCCATGACCTGCTGAGCTGCACCAGCTCTGAGCCGCTGACCCTCTGAGAGCTGGTGGCCCATCCAGGCCCCGTGACCACTGGGGCCCCCTGCAACCAAGTCTGCACTGTGACCAGGTCAGGATTCCTGGAACAGACCCGAGAGGTTTCACTGGTCACTCAGGGGCCCGGGTGGGGCTTTCAACCCCTTCCCTCAGCTACCCAGCCCACTGCACTGAAATGAGACTTTATTCTGAAGTTATTAAAAAGAACAGAGATGCTCCACGTGGATGCATGCAGCAGGGGAGGGGACTCGGCCGGGGGCCCTGTGCTTCTTTCCCACACAGGATGCTGTGGTTGGGGCTCTGGATGTGTCTGCCCATCCGTGGGCCTGTGTGTGTGTCTTTCTGAGAGAGGAAAAATATACAGAGGGATCTGTGGGTCTGTGTTCATCCGAGTGCTGAAAGGCAGGTGGGGGTTCATGGGACCCACAGCTGGGAGCCTGGAACTGAGTGGGGTGGGGGGGGTTCCTTTTGCATCGTGGCCTCCAGGCCAACAAGAGCTGTGGAGCAGGAAGGGTCGAGACCCTCCTGCAGGAAAGGACGACTCAAGGAAGCTTTTTCCTCAAACCCCCACACCTCCGGAATCCTTCCTCCTATCCAAATGAAGACAGCCTCCTCACCTGGGCATGATTCCGCCCTCCACCCAGGCTGAGAGCTACAAGGGCGGGGTGGGGGTGGGGGAGCTTGCCCGGTGGTTGGGGGAGGAGCTCGAGGCTGCGTGTGAGTCGGGGTGCGGGTGGGGGCGGGGGAGAATGGCTGAAGTTCCCTCTGGGTAAGGGAGGGCAGACCCAGCCAGAGCCTGCGTCTCAATCATTGTCTAAGGGAGATATTGCCTTTTGGACTGAGGGTGCTTACCGCTTGCTTGCTGTAGGGTTGCCTTCTCCATAGACCCCAGAGTGCAGTCCCTGGGGGCGGGGGGTGTGGGCAAGGGGGGGGGGGGTGCGACCAGCCTGACCCCCAGCCTGGATAGACACAAGGAAAGGAAGCCGGGAGAGGGCCAGTGAAGGCAGGGAGGAGGGGGAACCTGGGTCCTGTCGTTCAGAACTGGGAGGCGCTGCTGGGGTCGCACTGCAGCAGACGCACGATGGACGGGTCGCTTTTGGCCCCGCGGATGAACTCCTCCAGGGACAGCTTGCCTGCGGGGCGAGGGGAGCAGTGATGCTGGAGAAGGCGGCCGCGCAGCGAGGGGAGGCCGAGCAGAGCCGCGGGAGAGGAAGGGGGAGTGGCACCCGCCCCGCCCCATCCCTGCCCCCTCACCGTCGTTGTTTGTGTCCATTTGGCGGAAGATTTTCTCGGTCCTCTTTTCTGGGGTCGACTCGTCCTCCGGCATCTTCATCACGGACGAAACCATCTTGTAAATGGCCTGAGGGGCGGGAGGGGGAGGCAGGGAGTGAGAGGAGCCTGCCCGAGCCCCCCACCCCCAGCATCCAAAACGGCCTCCACACACGCAGAAGATTGCTGCCCCCGCTTGGGTGAGGTGGAGAGATGGTCACGGAGGCGTGGGGGAACGGGAAGGGGGGTTAGTTTAGGAAGGAGTGCCTGGAGAGGCTTCCCAGAAGAGGGGGCTATTGGAGCGGGCCCTGACCAAGTTCCCTTGGAGCGCCAGGTGGGAAAGGCATTGCTGGCAGAGCAATCTGCACGTACAAAGGACCTGCAGCAGGAAGCTGAGTGGGCGCCGAGAATTTGGGGGTGGCTGAGTGCAGTGGGCCAGGAGAGAGGTTGGAGGATATCGGGACCCAGATAGCGAAGGGGCTAGAACATCGGGCTTAGGAGCTGGTGCGGGGCGCTGCGGGCTCCAGGATGAGTACCGGCTTAGGGCTGCTTTTCTGAAACTTCGGGGCCCTGGGCAGCCTGCGCTCGGCCGCCTACAGGGGGCGCTGGACGAAGGAGGTGACATTGGGCTGCGGCGCCTATGTGGCCGGCAGGGGGCGCAGAGCCGCGCTAAGGGCTGTAGGGCTCGAGGCCGCAGGGCCCAGAGTGGGCGGGGGCATTATGCAAATAAACGCAAATGAGCATCTGCCAGAGGCGGGGACAGCATGCGCTCAGTTGTGCCCAGAACTGCAGCTGCCACGTGCAGGATCTCTGGAGGCAACACGAAGGAGGATATTTGTGCTAAATGTAGGCAGAGCACGTAGGGCTTGGCCTGTGGGATAGACTGGGTCCTGGCGCCCCAGAACTCAAGGACCAGACGGATCCCCCCCGATGTTCCAGCTCTTTGCAACAGACACCTCTGCCAAGAAGCCTCCCTTCTCCCATCCCATAAACTTCCCTTGCCTCAGATCCAGATCCGGCCTCCGTACTGGTCTCTTCCGGCCTCTTTCCCTCGCATCTGTCCCCCACGCTGCTTCTGAAAGCTTTCCAAACACAGATCTCCACCGCCACGTCCCCAGCCCAGTGGGCCGCCGCCTCGCTCCCATCACACACAGGCTTCCCTCCAGGCCCACCGTGCACCCAGCTCCTTCTGGATGCTGCCCCACGCTCCTTCTGCTGCCTCCCACTCCTCTTTGGGACTCCACTTACATAGCGCTTTCTTAGGGAGGCCTTCTCTGATCCTGCCTGGGTCAAGGTCCATATGCTGGCCCAGAGCCTCCTGGGCTCTTCCTTTGGGGACACCTCTCTGAAAATAATTTTGTAGGATTGCACCTAGTTTCCAGCATACAGCTAAAGATCATGGATATCTAGCTAGTACCCATATCCTCAGAACTTAGCACAGTGCCTGGCATCTGGCAGGGACTCCACGGCTTAAAAGCCTTTGGTGCCTCCCACTGTCCTCTGTACCAAGTCCAAACCATTCAGCCCTGGTCACTCAAGGTACTTCTCGTTTGGTCCCTGCTGACCTCTCCATCATCAGGCCTCCCCTGGTGAGTGACCCTGCCACAACCAACCCCTCCATGCCTTTCAGGTTTCCCAGAATATACAGCCTCTTCCTGGAATAATAGTACTAGCTACCACTTGTCAGTCTCCTGCCGTGTGCCAGGTACTTTACACGCATTATTTCTTAACCTCACAACGGCCCTGAAAAGCAGGTATCGTGATCCCCATTTTCCAGATAAGAAATGGAGGCTTGGAAAGGGAATTGACGGCAGAGACTGAATTAGAATCCACTCCTTCAGAGTTGTGGGATAGATGCTTGTGGGTAGTGATGACCAGCAGGGGTTTTGAAGTAAGATGGACTTGGAGTGGCATCCTGGTTCCACTAATGTGGAAGCCTTGGACAAATCCTTATGTGTAGCCTTGGACAAGTCCTTAACCTCTGTGAACCTGTCTCCTCATTTCTCCCTCATTAGGATTGTCCAGACTGTTGTAGTTAGAATAGTAGCTGGCTGGAGTAAGTGGCCAGCAAACAGCAGCTCATAATATAATCATTACTCATCCACCACATCCTCAGGCCTTCCCTGCCTTTCAGTCCCCTAGACTCCAGATGCCACATTTAGCTAGTCAGTGCAGACTTCTTCTCTCCCACCAGAGTGGGAGCCCCAAGAGGCCAAGACGCAGCGTTTTCCCTTGTGGTGTGTCCACAGGGTTGGGTCCTGAGAAGGATGGCCAGGTGACTTAGAGAGTGACTGCTCCCCTGGTGACAGCCCTCTCCTGGGCCTCCTAATTAATTGTCTGGAATTGTGCACTTACTGTTTCATTGGAGCCAACTTGTAATTAATCAGTCACTGGGATTTGCAGAGCTCTGTCTGCACCGGCCGTCTCGGGCTGCCCGGCTGCCATAAAGGAAATCAGGGCTTACGTAGCAGAGGTCAGCCAGGCAGGGGTCCTGAGGAGGCCGAAGGAATGAAGCTGGGCATGACTGATGTCTTGGGTTTGGCGCCCCCAACAGGGCTGAGATTCACCAGTATAGAGCAGTGCAACCACACGAAGTGGTAAAACGTGAACATCTCTCATATTGGTTGGTATGTTCAATCCCTGAGCTGTTGCTGTTTTCCATCACCCTGATTGCCCCAGCCCTTCCACCAGGACCCCCAGAACTTCCCACTGTCCGTCAGCTAGAGAGTTCATGCCTGGTCCATGGGGGTCACAAACATTAAGGCTTTACCCCTAGCGATAGACACAGGGAGGGCAGCGCATCCCCAAGCAGCCCGTGCTAGTCTAGCTCAAGAGAGCATACCCCGATGCTTAGCAAGAGAGAAGCCAAAGCAAGAATCCAGTAGGGGCTGGATGCAATGGAAGGGGAAGCAGCAGAGCCGAGGAACCAGAGGGAAAGGATTCAGAGAGGCAAAAGGAAAGAGCAAGAGCTTGTGCAAAGCTGTGCAGTGGGATTACTCAGGGCATATCCTAAGGATGTTGAAAAGGCCACTCTGGCTAGAGCAGAGAATGTGCAGAAGAGAGAATAGCAACCGACAGCATCCAACATTTGCCAAGTAACAATCATATGGAGGACTCTCTTCTCTCCTGCTAGAGCCCCTGTCCCACTTTATACCTGCAATAACCTGGTGCTGTAGGGAGCTAACACCCTCACTATATGGGTGAAGAAACACAGGCTCAGGCAAAAAGTGAACTAGGAACTGGATAGATAGACTAGAACCAGAGCCCTGATGGACTTCAATGCTGGGCCAGGGGGATAGGCACTCTGGAAGATTGAGCTAATATACGCTACACTTAAACTTGTACTAAGAAAGAGCATTTATATCAGGTCCTTAAATCTCCCTGTGAGGTCAGTATCACCACCCCCATTTTACAAATGGGAAATCTAAGAGTTGAAGCCAACTCCAGAACTAGAAGCCAGATCCCTTTCTAGGGGCAACTCTGAGTGGTGGCCAGCTTGAACTTGACTCCACCACATACATGCTGTGTGACCTTGAGCAAGTCACTTCACCTCTCTGAGCCTCACGGGGTTATTGTAAGGATGCACTGGCTCATGGATATCAACATATCACTTAGTACTAGGTTTTTAATGGGCCCTCAGTCAGTTGAAAGGTGGCTGGGTCCTCATGGAAAGTGGATGGTGGACCCAAGGTAGTCCACTTACAGGCTGTGTGGCTTTGGGCCAATGTCTTTACCTGAGCATTCATTTTGTCCTGAGTAAATGAGGATCAATGAAACATAACTGGCCTGTACTCTGAAGAAATGTCAAGTTTTGAAAGACAAAGACTGAGGAATTATTACAGATTGCAGGACTCTAAAGAGACACAGCAATGAAATGCAATGTGTGATCCTCAACCTGGGTAAAAAGTGCCATACGGAACATTTCGAGACAGTTGACAAAACTGGAATATGGTCTGTAAGTTAGATAATAGCATTTATCTACATTAGAAAATAGTTTCTACATTAAATGTCCTGACTTTGATAATTATATTATGGGTCATGTAAGAGTATGTTCCTGTTCTTAGGAAATACATCCTGATGTATTCAGGGGTAGAGGGTCATGTTCAGAACAACAGCGAAGCATTGCACACACGCTCGCATGCCCGTAATGATAAAGCAAATATGGCAAAAGTTAATTGGTGAATCTGGGTAAAGGATGTATGAGAGTTTTCTCAACTTTTCTTTAAATTGGAAACCAGTTCCTAATAGTTTTTTAAATGGGTCACAAGAGTAGCACCCGCCACTACCTACCCACAAGGGCTCTCAAGAGGATGAAAGGGAATGGGGGGTGCCAACTGCTGGGCCCTGCATCTGGCATTTGAGGGGTCCAGGGGCCCACCTGCACAATCTCGAGCATCTCCTCGCGGCTGATGTAGCCGTTGCCATCCAGGTCATACATGCTGAAGGCCCACATGAGCTTCTGCTCCAGGCGGCCACGCGAGGTCACGCTCAGCGCGATGATGAACTCCCGGAAGTCAATGGTGCCATCGCTGTTGGTGTCAAAGGTGCGGAAGACGTGCTCGGCAAATTTGGAGGCGTCACCATAGGGGAAGAAGTTGGCGTAGATCTTCTTGAACTCGTCCACGTTGAGGATGCCCGTGGGGCAGTCCTTGAGGAAGCCCTTGTACCACTCCTGCAGCTCCAACTCCGAGAACTCCGTGTTCTCCCGCAGGTCCTGCAGCATCTCTGGCCGCAGCTTGCTGTTCTGCTTGCCCATGGCCACCAAGCCAAGTCCCACCTGGATTCCCGAGGGGGTCAAGGGGTAGAGAGGAAATGGTCAGGCCCTCTTGGCCCCTTGACGCCACTCCAGGAAGGCCCCCCAGACACCAGGCTCTCCAGTCTCTCATTTGACCCAATGAAAGAGAGCAGCTGGCCCAAAGTCAACAGCCCATACCCTGGCATCCTGCCCGTGACATGCTCCACACCATTTCCCAGGACCTTACAATTTCCCAGGGAACAGACCAGGAGACGGAGGAAGGGAAGGGGACTCACATTTACCGGAGAGCCTTCTCAGTGCCGGCCACTGGGCTTTCACAAGTGAATATCATTTCACACTCACAAAGTGAAGTCCAGGAGTTAGCCCCGCTTTACAGAGGAGAAGGCAGGCTCAAGGAAGTGAGGTGACCTGTTTCAGGTCGCAAAGCCGTGGAGTGACAAGGCTGCCTCCCAGAGTTGCCCAGGGATGTGCAAAAAGGCCTTCTGGTCCTCTTCCCTCTTCCCTCCTGCTCCTTCTTTGCCTCGCATATGCCTGCTCATTACAAAATACACCTCCAGCCCAGACACTGACCTGTTCTCTCCCCCACACATGTGTGCCTGACAAAGGCCAGCGTAAGATAGATGTTAACCTAGGCTCCAGAGCCAGACCACCTGGGTTTGAAGCTCAGGTCTGCCTCTTGCCAGCTAGGTGACCTTAGATGAGTTCCTTATACTCTCTCTGCCTCATCTGTAAAATGAGGGTAATAGTACCTACCTCATTATTGTGGGGATTAAATTAGTTAATACATGTGAAGCACTTAGAATGATGCCTACACGTATATGTGCTACATAAGTGTCAAATAAAAATGATTTATGTGTACCCAGATGCCACAAGACTCATGCACAAGAACATACAAATGAATACACACTGACACATATTAATGCTACATAGCTCACCAAATCCATACACTGGCTCCCAGGCCACTCACATACCACCATGGGTCACCATGCCTCCACACCACATTCCCTCTGCTCCACAACTCACATGTACTGACACACTGCACCACTCACGAACAGCTCCCATACCCTGTGCATCAAGACACCAGCCCACGACCCCACATGTCTCACAAATGCCATCACAAGCCAACTCCCATGCTGACACCTCTCACATGGCCAGCTGCACGTGGGACCCTCAGGCAGCCTTGCCATCTTTCTTTTCCCAGGGGTGCTTGCAGGTCCCAGGAGAGGGAGCTGCAGCCCTTCTCAGACATAACAGGGGCCTCTTTTCCAGTGAGAGCCCTGGCCAGCCAACCTTTCCCCAATACCTACCTTTCACCTAGTCCAGAAAGATCCCCTCAGTAAAGGAGGTTAAGGCGCGGAGGGCTGAGGGGAAGGCAATGGAGAGGAGACAGCCAGGCAGTTCCAGGCAGGAGTGTAGGGGTGTATGCAAGTGAATCCCTCCCCCCAGCCTCGGGCTGTGAGTGAGACAGGGTGAGGATGTTCCTTGTGTGTGCATTTGCACATAGCTTTCTGCACATGTGGATGAACATGTGTGTGAGTGCTTGGGTTCATGTACGCACATATGTCTCGGGTTTCTGCATGGCATTTGACTCCCGTGTGTTTCAGTCAATATATGTGCATGTGACTAGGTACGCACCCATCACAGTATGAAGGGGATATGCCTGAGTGGCCATTTAGTGGACTTGTGTGTGTCCTCAGCAGTGTCACATGCGTGTTTTTGCAAGTTGGTGACCCTCCATTCTAAAGCAGCCTTTTCTGCCCCAGACTGAGGACCCAATGAACAAGTGTGTGGGAGGGGACTGAGGAAATGCGTGGGGCTGGGGCGGAGAAGTGTGTCCCTTAGTCCCCTCCTCAAGGTCCAAGGAACTGGGTCATCGGGGCGGGGGCAGAGAGATGCGCTGGGCAGGAGAGATCTTCCAGTGGCCCCCTCCTCCCTGCCACCCTCAGAACTGCCCCTCCAAATCGGAAGACTCGGAAACGAGGGTGGTAGAAGGTTCTGTTGTCTCCGCAAAGACCCCTAGTCCCCCGAGTGGGAGGCCCCCCAGCTCGACCTGAGAAACTCGCCCTGGGGACCTTCTCCAAACCTCTCCCCAGCTCTCGCCCTGAGCCCACGCTTCAGAGCGCCGGGCGCGGGGCCCCTCCTGGAGGGGGCAGGCGGCCGGAACGCGACTCCTCCCCGCTGGCCACTCGGCGGTCAGGACCCTGGAGAGCGCCGCGCTCTTCCCCTGGGGAGCCCCCTTCTCCCCAGCGCCCTCGGAAGGAGGCTCCCCGGGAGGCGCGAGAGCGGCGGGGTTGGAGAGGCTGGACGGGGCCCCCTCCCTCCGGGCTGCCCCCTCCCCGCATCACCCAGCCCCGGCCGGAGCGGCCCCCACTCACCCAGCGACGCGGAGACACCGACTGCGCAGGGAAGGCGGCGCTGCTGCGGCGCGCGGCGGCAGAGGCGGCCGGAGGGGCGGGCGGGGGGCGGGGGGAGGGACTGCCAGGGAGACGCCCCGCGGCGTTGGCCCGGAGCCCCTCCCCTGGGGGGGGGGGTCCCTGTTCCTCCCCTTCCCCTCCAGCCCCGGGGCGGGGGGAAGCAGTGAGCTAGGCTCTGCCCCCGCCCCTGCCCGGGAGAGGGAAGGGGACGCCCTCACTTCCCCGGCCCCCTCACTAGGGAGCGCCCGCCGGGGGAGGAGGACAGAGGTTTCCATCTCCTCAGCATCTCGACTCAGGTAGCCCGAATGGGGTCCGGGGGGGTCAGTGCCCAGAGACGTCTTTCCGAGCCGAGGGCAACCCCGGCCGCTCCACCCCCAACCCTACCTGGGCGCGAAGCCGCACGTCGCTCAGCGAGCGGAATCCGGAGCCTGGGCGGTTCGATAGGCGCCCTCCTTGCCACCACGCCTCAACTCGCGAACTAACAGAGCTGGGGGCTCTTTCGTGAGGGGGCAGCTCCCATTTCTCCAGTCCGGGAGGTCTTGGGGGGGGGGTAGACACGCCCCCTCCCCCCCCTCGGCCTTAGAGAGCCCCGCCCCCCCCTCCTGCCCCCCGCCCCGGATCTCCCCCCCCTCCCCCGCCCCCCCACCCCTCTCAGAATGAATCTCACCTCCCAACATTGATCTAAACTGCTCCTCCCATACTCGCTTCCGACCCCAGGCTCTGCCTCTGCTGTCCAGTCTCGGGGGTTCTGAAGTGCGTAGGCACCTTACCTCAGGACAGCCCTTCTCCGGAGTCGCTGACCCCCCAGCACATCTCCTCCTGCCAGGATGGGGGTTGCATCCTCCTTCAGCCAGCTTCTGCAACACCCCCCCCCCCGACACACACACACACACATCCTGGGCTCGAATTTTGTCCTTTATCTCTAGGAGGTGGGCCTTATCGTCCCCTCTTCACAAATGAGCAACCTGAAGTTCAGAGGGGTAAATGATTTTCCCCATGTCTCACAGCTGGTGAATGGAAGGCCTGGACTTGAATCCATATGCCTTCATCCTTTCATCGCACAAATATTCATCAAGCACTATTTCTGTGCCCAGCATTTTTCTAGGCAGTGGGGTTACAGAAGCGGGCAGTAAACAGTGGACAAAATATACAAGTCAACTCTGTGGTGTATTAGATACATATTTTGGGAAAAGTTGAGATCGGCGTTTAGAGGCTGGGATGGTGGCAGTGCTGAGGACCATTCCAAAGATTGTGAGGACCATTCCAAGGATTGTAGATTTTATTCCAGGTGACATGGGATGCTCTAGGTTGGGGCCTTGAGCAGAGTGAGGGTCTGACTTTCAGGTCAAGCTTACTCAGGCATTCTGTCAAGAACAGACTTGAAGAGTGGGGGCCAGGGTGGAAGCCAGGGGCCATTTCAGGGTGAGAGAGAGGAGTCTGGTTACTTTGAAGGTGAGCCGACAGCATTTGCCTTCTGACTGGACACCTCCTCCCAAGTCGGTGGCAGCCGGGACACCCCTGGCTCTCCAGGGCTCAGACCAAAGCTCCACTTCCAGGTCCCCAACCAGGCCACTCAGATGGTCAAAGTCTAGTCTTAGTCCTTCCTGCTTGAGGATGGGGAGGTCCCAACTGGAGGAGCTGGGGAGCCAGGCGGTGGTGGAGGGGGTGGGGGAGGTTGGACATGTGGGCCCTCTAGAACATCAGTTCCTCCGTGTGCCTTGGCTCTGGTGTTGGGACCCCCAGTGGAGGCGTGAGAGATGCCAGACATGCGTGGGTGGTTCCCAGCTGCCTCCTGTGTGAGGACCTGGGGGCAGGGAGAGACTTGCTGCTCAGGCCCCACCCCAGGCCCCTGGAGTGACAAGCTTCCTCCATCTTCCCCACTAGACCTGGAGAGCCTGCCCTGTTTGGAGCTGGATGAGGGGACTGCCCAGCATTCACTGCCCGGGCTTCTCCTCCCCATCCTCCTCCTTCCTCTCTCTCGGCCTGAAGCCAGAGAATCTTCCCAGCTGGGTCTGGATCCTCCTCTCCATCCTTGGGGTGGGGGGTCGCAGTTTATCCTCACAGGGTGCTGCTCAGTCACTCTCTCTGCTTCTTCCCACTACCCCATGCCAGCTTGACCTCCTACAGACTGACTTCTTGGCTTAGCCCCTCAGGAGCCTTCTTCTATTCCCGCTGTTTTTCTTCCCTATGAGGGTAACTCTGATGCCCTGCCCTCAGGGCCCCCAGTCTGAATTCTGTCTCCCCAGTAGATGGGGCTTCTGATGGCAGGACCATGCCTTCTCCTCTTCCTGGAAGCCTCACCTTCTTTTGACTTTCCCTGTACCTGGAATGAGTGGGGTAGATCTGGGGGCAGAGTGTGAACCCTGGTAGGCTCTGTACTGCTTCCAATCAGCCACCTCTCCCCTACTGGGGGCCTAAGAAGCAATGGGAGGTCCCCCAGAGCCAAAGAGGAAGGCTTGGGGCTCCCCATATTGTACACCAAGGCCCAAGAGTTAGTGCCCTGAGATATAGCCCAGAAAAGCGGGCCAGAGGGGCAGCTGTCAGGAGACCTACCTGGGTCCCTCACTTCTGGATAATCTGGAGCAAGTCTTTTCCCCTTTTGGAACAGAGAGTCTAAACAAGTGACCTGGGTGCCTTGACATCCCCTGTCGAAACCCCTGACCAGGCAGGCCTCATTTGCTGCCCCACAGTCTCCTCAGGCCTGAAATTCTGGGCATGAGCATAGTAGACAGGAGGCCTCAGTGGCCCTGGAACCCTGCAGATTTGAAGGGCTCTATGAAGACTTGTTGTGAGGGTAAGGGGGGGGGGGTGTCCTTGCTGATGATACTCATCCCCCTCCCACCCCAAACTGAGGCATCCAGGAGGGAGAGAGAGGCACAGCTTAGGGTAGATGTTGAGCGGGGTCATTGAGAGAACTGAGCAGTGAGTAGGACCCATGGGGGATAGAAGAAAGGGCAAGTCCCACAGGAGGCAGTGTCCTCAGGGTCTGAGGAGTGGGGCTGGGGTACAGAAACCAGAGGTGGCCACCCTCCTCTAGCACTAAAGAGGGATGCCAGAGAGAGAAGCAAGTGGGGGGTGAATGGAGAGGGGACTGCAGATCTCTTGAGCACCTACTGTATGCAGAGTACTTTGCAGGCATCACCTCCTTTGATCTGAACTAATCCTGAGGAGTCAATAATGTTACTGCCATTTCACAGATGTGGAGACTGAGGCTCAGAGAAGTGAGGCCACCTGCTGGAGGTAATACAGCAAGAAAGTAACAATGCCAAAATTTGAACCCAATTCCATGTGACTCAGGAGCCCAGGCTCCCCTCTGGAAGTCTCTCAGTGAGGTAGGTGGAAGCAGCCCCTCCCCAGCCCCCTCAGAGGCACAGCCCCCACCCTCCCCTCTTAGGTCCCAAATGGTTTGGAAAATCCTGATGGGAGCAGATGGTGGGGACAGATGGAGGGAAAAGCATCTCAGGGCTGAATTACACAAACAAACATTGATAAAGTGATTAAACCTCAAGCCACCCCTTTCCAAAGGGCCCTGCCCACCCCAGCCTGGAGCACCATGGACCCAGAGGTGGGGGTCTGGGGGTCTCTGAGGATGCCCCAGTCTTAGCCCAACGGATCCCAGCTTCTGCCCACCCCTCCCACCGCCGGGGACCACCCCCGGACCAGAGCCCAGGGCCTCAGAGCTGCCAAGAGCACAGCCCGGGAGGGGGAGGGGGCGGGCCTGGCTGTTCCCAAGGGAGCTGGGCCATGAGGAACACAACGGGGGCGGTGGGGGTGTTGGGAAAGTCCTGCGAGCTGGGACTGCAGAACTGAAATCAGAGTTGGGTGGCGTCCCTCCAGCAAGCTTCACTTTACAGATGGGGCTCAGAGAGCTGCTGGGCCACGTCACACAGCAGCCTCAACCTGACCCGGCCCCCCAACCCCACAGTGGAGGGGGGCAAACCTTCACCTCTGGAAGGTTCAGGCGGTTCCTTCATCTATAAAATGGAAACGATGGGGCGCCTGGGTGGCGCAGTCGGTTGGGCGTCCGACTTCAGCCAGGTCACGATCTCGCGGTCCGTGAGTTCGAGCCCCGCGTCAGGCTCTGGGCGGATGGCTCAGAGCCTGGAGCCTGTTTCCGATTCTGTGTCTCCCTCTCTCTCTGCCCCTCCCCCGTTCATGCTCTGTCTCTCTCTGTCCCAAAAATAAATAAACGTTGAAAAAAAAATTTTTTTAAATGGAAACGATAATTTTAATGCTTCCCGGAAGGGTCTTTGTGAGGATTAAGTAAGAGCAAGCTTGTAAATTTCGGGACACTGGGCCTGTACAGTCAGTGCTCTGTTAATGTCAGCTCCAGCCAGCTAACAGGGCCTCGCTGGTGTTGAGGGATCAGGAAGGCAGGGGTTGGTTGGAGATGGTCCCCCTACTGAGAAGTTTGGGCTTAAAGATTTTGCCTGCAGAGTCCCTGAGGTTACTGGGCTCCTTGGTGGTGGGATGGCCACAGTGCCCCCAAGAAAGCACCAAGTCCTGGGTAAGATTCATTCCATTCATCCCCCACTTGCTCCTGGGTAAGAGCAGCTGAGGGGCTTCCGGGTGGTTCAGTCAGTTAAATATCCGACTCTTGATCTCAGCTCAGGTCACGATCTCACAGTTGTGAGATCAAGCCCTGAGTTGGGTTCCACTCGAGGTGGGTTCTGTGCTAAATGGGCTCTGCACTAGGTTTGGAGCCCGCTTAAGATTCTCTCTCTCCCTCTGCCCCTCCCCATTCATGTGAGCATTCTTTCTCTTAAGAAAAAACAAAACAAAACAAAACAAAAAAAAAACATGAGCAGCTGATCTCTCTGCCACGCTCAGAATCCACAAGCCAAAGGGAGGCAGAAAGGGGCTGCACCTTTGCTGGTCCCTCAGTGTGAACTTACAGACATTGCAGGGAAACAGACCCAGGTTCACATCTTGATGTGGCCCCTTCCCAGCTTTGGAAAAGTTGACAAAAACAACCCCACTGACTCTGGTTTCTTCTCAGTAAAGCCTGTATTTCCAGCCCCCAGGCACCTCAGCCTCAAGCTAGCC